TCCGCATTCAATAATATAATATTATCATGAATATAAATAGTATACATTATAGTATATATCATAATATATTTATATATAATATATATAATGTATAGTAAATAGTATAAACATAGTATTATTAATTATAGTATCTATAAATAATCATAATGATATTGTACACAAACGGTGACCCGTGAGCCGTTTGATTGTTATAGTAACAACCAGACTTAATACTTATTATTATCGACGGAAATCAAAACGACATACCTACCAGCACATGATTATGTTTCATAGAGTTGCAATACATTGGCACAATTTTGTGTTATAACTTATAAGCGTTTAAAGTTCAATTGTTGTCAAAATTTATCAAATTTATAATTTAAATTTATTTTTCGCTCAGAATTGTTTTTCTTGTACAATGATAATATTATATCATTGTATTCAAATTTAACACAATCCATTACATATACCCAGGGCCAGACTGGCCCAGTGGTCTATTGTCCTAGAGGACAATGGGCCTCTGTCTTTGGCTGGGTTTTGGACCGGTGCCTATTGTTAGTACAATTATATCGGTAGGTACATAAGTAAATATTAAAAGTATATTGTTTGGAAGGCAGATGAAAAATATTGAAAATCCTTAGTCACAATTTTTTTTTATAAGCATTTAAAGATCGAATTTTGACAAAATTTATCAAATTTAAAATTGAATAATTATTTTGTAGTAAAAAATGTATAAAATGTTCAACTTTTATACCTAATGATTGAAAATTTAAAACAAGATTTCACGTAAATAGTTAATTCTGTTAACAAAAAATCTAAAAAATACAGAAGGACACTTTATTTTGACAGTCATTTTAAGTTCAAATCTGGACGAAATTACATAATAAAAAACCTAGAATAACTATTTTAGTTATTTTTTTGTTAAAAATTATAAAATGTTCAACTTTTATAGCTAAGGATTGAAAATAGGTAAATAGGTAAATATATAAATTATTTTATTCACAATAATAATATCATCAAAATATATACTTAGTACCTAATCATAGGCTGACTGACCGTTTTCGCTCAGAATCGTTTTTCTTATACAATGATATTATATATTTATATCATTGAATTCAAATTTAACACCATCCATTACAGCGACCCATTGACGTTTATTTGAGGTATTTTAAAATGTTTGTAACTTTTCAACTTTTCTGGTAGAAAAAATGCTCTTATCATAAGCTTCGATGCCCAGTGTATGTTTTTGAAAGCAAATTGGATCTAGTTGGTACTTTTAGGAGGTCGAAATTTAATCTGCTCAGTGCTTTTAAAAGTACCTAATTGGAGAAAAAAAAATTAAAACTTATTTAAATTGTTTGGTAACAATAGCTTGGTTTATGGTTATATCGTCCTTACTTGGATAGTATTTAATTAATTAAAATTTTTTTTTTATAAATGTCAATAAAAAATTATTTGTCCGGTCAAAAAGCTTAAAAATTTAATACGTAAGTTTTTTTATTATAGCTAAAATATTAACGATACTTATTATGCATTTAGGCGAAGTAATGCTAACGCGGTTCCGCCTCCGCCCTCCGATTTAACGTTGATAATTTTCTAAGTCCAAATAATGTTATGCAGAGTGGCGTGAAGGTGCTTGCACTAGTGGTTGGTAGTACACGTCTGAATACAGGTCGTTTCGGGCTCCCTTTTACGACGTACAACGGTCGGCGGAAAAGGCGATTCGAGATCCACCATCGGACCGTCGGACCGTCCGACGTTAAACTCATCTGCCCGAGCGGCAGGTCATGTATTATTATATTTTGGTGGCAATATTATAATACATAATTTGTGAAATTCTTAAAGTGTTTGTGTTGTGTTTTTTTCATCACCTCAATCCTAACCAAACACTTCGACCGGACCACGATCAACCTTGAAGCAATCATCGTGTCCGCGTCAGGAACCAGGTAAATATTTAATACATTATATTATAATGTATTAAATATTTACCTGGTTGATATTATAGGTTGATAATATAATGATTATATTATCAACCTATAGGACCTAGGTACAAAAAAATGATTAATATGATAAAAATAAATTTCTTTTTATACCTACCTATCTTTTATTGAATTTTTTTTTTTTTTTTAATTTTTTAATTTTTAATTTTTATTATACATACAATTAAATACATACAATTGAATAAAAAATTATATACCTTCCGTAAGCATAGCTTGTGTCGAAGGTATAGAGTTAACTATTTTATATATTATAAAATATGTAAATTTACAATTTGATTTTAGGTGATTACATACTTATTGTGAACAATATAATACATTAAATTATTTCTTATAGATTAGGTTTTAAGAGAAAAAAAAAAGATAACAGATAACAGAGTTTTCATTTACAAATATAAATAATTATTGATTTAAAGACATTAATAACCATTTTACAACTAATGTTTTGGCATTAAAAATTTTACAGACAATGTTGTTTTTTTTTGTAATTATAGGCATAGAATTAAAATAGGTTGGACCAAGGTAGTCCACGAATTTTTGACCAAATGATTTTTTAAAATAACTAACTTTTGCATCATAAGCTACTGTTTCTCTTTTATTTAGATTTAACCAGTTATTTGAGTTATTTACTACCCATAAGATAGCAATTTTTTTGAATAGTAGATCTACTGGTAATACATTAAATAATTTGAAATTAGTAAAAGTTGAACCTTCGAGAGTGGATTTATGTAAACATATACGAATTATTTGTCTTTGATGTTTCCGTGCATTTGCTGAGAGACCACCCCAAATTAATAGTCCATATTGTATTATTGCTTGGTATAGGGCTATATATATTATTATTTACATATTGTATGTACGCGTGTAGCTTTGTAGTTATACTAAATAATTACCTGTAGATAATAGGTATATATTTTTTTAAATAATAATCGAGTATTGTAAAAATATTTTTAATTTCACCTTAAGTCATTGCTAATGAGCTGATTACTCATTATGTACAAAATAATTACTATATGTACATCGTTTTGATTTATCAATGTATAATATATATTATATATGTATATAATTTTTTTTATATGTAAGCCCCCCCCATTGAAAATAGCTGTGTACGCCACTGGACAGACTAGACAACACGCTATGAGCAGCAATGCAAAGAACGGAACGTGCACGTCTACCGCAGGCTGACGACGATAACGAAATCAGTGGCGTATTGGGATAATTTTTCAGGGAGGCAAATGCAAAAATCTCTCACTGTTACAATATCAGGAAATTTGAATGCAATAGGTACTTTATTCGTTGTTAGACACGGTTCTAACTTGTATACAGTTATAATCCTAAAAAATAATATAAAATAATAAATAGTCAATAGTAAAGTAGATCAATTAGTAAAAAAAATAATTATATTTATATTAAGTCAATATTTCTTTTTTTTTGATGAACACTGAACATTATTTTACTATTATTATTAACTATTATCACGGAATATTGATAATTGATATTGATTACAACTATTTTTCCACGGACTAAGATATACAGGACTGGACACGACAAGGTTGGAGGGTGTGGCGGGGTTGACTACGAAATGTTTTACAACAGGCGGTGTTCGCGGGGATATTTTCCTTTTCGCATTACTAGCGCCGTCCTAGTGGATACTTATGGAACTAAACACATCATACAATTTCTTAGTTCCATAAGTATCCACTAAGACGGCGCTAGTAATGCTAAAAGGAAAATATCCCCCCGAACTCTGCCTGTTGTAAAACATTTCGTAACCACAATATTCATCTCGTGTCCAGTCCTGTATATCTTAGTCCGTGTATTTTTCTTTATTATCTATGATTGTAAACTAATCTAAAGCATTGAACTATATCACGGTCTTAGAATATAAGGTCAGGAAAGTTTGGATAGGAACACACGCTTTTATCACGGAAAGAAATTGGAACGGGCGCAGTGCTGCGCTCATTGGGAAAATAACTCTGTAGTTTATACAAATTTGAAACTAAACTATTTATATTATTTATATATATTTATTGTAATTTATATTATATTCTAAAAAAAAAACCCGTGTTCTATACAAAATATAACTATACTTTAATAAGTACTTATAGTAAGGAACACTGGTGCACCAAATATTGCAAATTCAAAATGCCAAAAGTATGTTTTGTTTGCAAAAAAAACAAGGAAGGTATTGCAAGTTTTGAAGTAACTAACAAAGACGTGCAAGCTGGAGTAAATATATTGATGGGTTAAATGTAGGTCACAGAATTTGTGAAAACCATTTTTCCCCAAATTATATTATAAAAAAAAAAATTGTGAAGGACGGCTTAGGAAACATCATTGCAGAAGTAAGATTACCTATTTAAAATTAGACTAATTACTCAATGATTATTAATACAGTATTAATTTTAATTAATTATTAATTATACTTCTAGCAAAAGTATAAAAATGCTATTCTTCTTCAGGGTGCCATCCCCAGCATTAAATGTGAAAATATTATACAAGAACTTGACACTAATGATGATTTAGCTATTCCCCTAGACAAGTCTGAAATGGTAAATCATTATAATATTTAAATTAGCTACTAGGTTAAGTATAAACATTTTACAGTCAAAGAAAATAGATTGATCCTTTAATTCTTAATTAAGGCCTTGTATTCTTGATTATTTTTAAATTTCAGAAACACATTTATACAAACAAAAGGTCAACAGCTTCAACATATGTGTTACCCGTACACAATGAGACAAAAAGAATTTGTTTGGATTCTAATAATATTGATGCACATAAAGTATCAGATAATTTCAATAAAATATTGAATGATATGAACAGTATTATAGTTCCATTTAATTGGTCCAGGATTCTCCCTGCTAACAAAAAAATGGTCATATTTAGCAAAGTATTTGTAAATAAAGACGTAGAACTACCTTATTTTGAAAGATGTGTTTAGTGTACACGAAGAATATGACAATTGAATGCAGGTATTTAAATAAATTAATAAATAATTATTCAATTTTGAATCAGTCAAATATGAGAGAACTAAATAATATTCAAAATCTGATTTATAATTTTGATTTGGCTAACATGTGTAGTGGTGTAAAAATACCTGAAGAAGACAGAAAGTACTTAACAAAGACAACTTACAAAGATACATCGGATAGTTTCAGACACATTAATTGCTCATTAATTTTAAATACAACAGTATCAAATCCAATTGATCTTAAGGCAATAAACAAAAATAAAAAACCAGAAAATTGTAAATTTGTAAAAAAATTGAATTTGATAAAAGAAAAAAATCTAGATCACCAAGGTTTAAACGAATACACATCCAAGTTACTCCTAGCAAAAAGTTAAAATTAAAAGCCCTTCGTAACCGCAATAAACTTAATACAGAGTCAAAAAAAAGAATTCAAAACAAATTATCTAAAATACTCATTGAATTTAAGGAATTGAAAATTAAATTTAGAAGTTTAGAACATGATACAATAGTTGAAAAATTAATTAAAAACAACACTCCTCCAAATCACTTGTTGTTAATAAAAGAAATATTTGCTGCAGAAAAAAAGGGCCCTAAAGGAAATAGGTATACTGAGGATTGGATAATGTTGTGTATGCTACTCCACATCAGGTCTCCATCTGGGTATTCATTTATGAGAGAAAATAAATTACTCCCCTTGCCATGTATCAGGTCCATTAGAAATTATCTGCAATTAATTAAAACATCTTGTGGTTTTGACGAACAATTTTTACAACTATTTGCAAAACACCTAGAAGGAAAAGAAGAATATCAAAAACATGGTTTACTAATTTTTGATGAAATATCCTTACGCCAGAGTATTTCTGTTAACACCAAGACTCTAACATATTCCGGACTGATTGATTTTGGGAGTGAAGATTTACCAAAGGCAAATGACTTGAGTGATAAAGCAACTCATGGCTTAGTGTTTATGTTTCAACCTTTGGCTGACTCATACACTCAGCCAATTGCTGTGTTTGCCTCAAAAGGTCCAGTAGCAGGTTTAACACTAACTCAGTTAATTATAAAAGCAGTAGTTTTATTGGAAAATGCTGGAGCAAAAGTGCATGGGTTAGTGTCTGATGGTGCCCAAACAAATAGGAAAGCGTGGAAAGAGTTAGGAATTCGTGGCCATCTGAATGACTGCCAAAGCCCGTAGAACACTTCGTTGACAGTAGTAGGAAAATTTTTGTATTTCAGATACTCCACATCTGATTAAAAATGTTCGCAATCGTTTATACAATAACAAAGAATTATTGGTAATTTTAAATTTTAAATGTTTAAAAATATTATTAAACATTTTCATACATCCTACTTTTTATAATAGGTAAATCCAACTGAAGGTTTGGTGAAATGGAAACACTATGTTTTATGCACAACATGATAAAAATATATGTGACAGCCAACTAAGAGTGTGCCCAAATTTCAGACAATCATTTGAAATTATTGAATCTTGTGTTGAAAATGCGTGTCCGCCTAGCCACCCAAGTAATATTTTACAATAATCTACAAACTTTCGAGACATTTACACCATATCTATACTAACCTTTCTTTATATATCCAGGTATTCAGTAAGTCTATGGCTGATGGACTAAGATTCTATCAGAAGCATAAAGTTCCTGGGTTAGAACACTGTGATGCCACAATTAATTTCACTCTAATTATGAACAACATGTTTTGATGCCTTAAACGCCAAACTTCCATGTGAAGGATTCGACATGGGTCAAAAAAATTATGAAGTTAGCAATAAAATAATTAAAAAATGAAGTGTGTATGTTTGTAAATTTGTGATATTTGTTTAAATTACAAAATTATTAAAAATAGTATGTGAATAGTTTTATGTGTAGAACTGTAGAAGAGATTTTAGGATCTTTATACTTACACCCATTTTCTGGTACAAAACTTTATGTGGGCTTTTGTGACTTTATGTATTTAATTTGCATGCTTAAGTGTTTCTTTTGTCAGTGTTGTATTTCAATAGTTCGTTAAATCTAAGAGTGTCACCTGACGGTCAAGTTGACTTGGTATGAACAAAATTATTTGGCTAAACAATAACCTATAGTTATTAATTGTTTTTTTTTACAAATGATTACTTATAGGTGTTGAAATACTCTTTAAAATGGCTGGATGATTGGGAGGCTCGGACTGGAGTTGATGTCACTGATAATCAATTCTTAACAAAAAGTACTTCTGAAGGTTTACGTGTAACACTGAACTCTTGTATTGATTAACAGATGACTTAATAGACAAATTTGGATTTAAATATGTTCTATCTGGAAAAATAACCCAAGATGCACTTGAAAGTACTTACAATACAGTGTAGAACATTTATAAAATTTATACTAATATCTATTTACATTTTACAGAGATTTTTTGGTACAGTTCGAATGGCATCTGGGGCTAATGACCACCCTGCCACCCCTACCTTCCTTCAAGTATATAAATTACTTTCTGTATATTCTATTATAAAACCTCCAAAATATGGCAACTGTTCTATCAATATTATGGACCCTGGATCCATTCATACGTTTATCAGACATCACGAGTATATATCATAATGATAAAAAATCACCGACAGCCTTAGAAAACTTGAAAAACAAGCTAGATACATTAATTGACGATGGAACATGGGAATTCACTGACATCATTGAACATGATTACGCTCATGCACAAGTAATTGACTGCTTAAAATATTATATCACCGGTTACTTGTGTTTTCAAATTGGCAAAAAGACACAATGTGTTACATGCAAGCAAGCATTTGTCACACACTTGCCACCTACAAATAATGTTAATGCAGCAGAATTAACAAACTTAAAATCAAAAGGAAAACTTACTCACCCAAATATTATATTTTTTAAATTCATAAGTGCTGTAGAAGATTGCTTTATGAAAAATATTAAGAGCCCAGACGTCTATAATAAAACTGTAGATGATTTAATTGAACATTTTCAAAGATTTAATTTTCCATGTCCCAAACACAAATATGAGATTTTTGCCTATGCAATTAAGTATTACTTGAGTATGCGAATGAAACAATGGTCAAGAACAGTGAATCGGGAAATTGTTAAAACGAACACAAAGAAGAAAAAACTAGCAAAATTTTGTACAACATAGTTTTTAACAAAATATTAATAGGAATTATCACCAATTATGAAGCCATGAATCAGTGCACTATAAAAAGATAAATTATAATAATATAGGTACAATATTCTAATGTTATTAACTATATAATTAACATTTAACGTAAGTTAACATTAAACATTAAACTATAACGATTAAAATTTTAAAAATCGTATACCTATTTATTTACTTAAATGTTGACTACTTATATCATGACATCAAATATTGTGTAGTTTTATAAACCACTAGAGCGCAGCAGAGAGCCCGTTCCGGTTTGCTCCGTAATAAAAGCGTTTTTGTAAGTATGTATTTTCAGTTGAGTTGCACGGGCCTGAACTATATAATAACTGGAACGCTCACCGCCCATATGACTAATGTAAATAAAACCGAGCGAGTGTGTTAGAAAGAGATAGCGAATACTTTAGGTATTTCTATCTCTGTCTTTATTGATAACACGCTGTACTGTATTCATTTTCAATGTTTACCGGCATAAAATATATTGTGATTTGTGAATTTTGTGATCGACGTCCGTCAATTTCAGTTTTTTGTTCTTTCTGATAGAATTGACGTGTACCTACCTATATTCTAGTCTATAGGTACAATAATAAATAATTTTAAGTGTTAATTTTTTAACTTGAATTATAATAAAGATGTTAGATATGTTACTATTTGTTATATAATAATTTTAAATAAATGTAGTAGGAAAGATGAATGAGGAAGAGAGAGAGTAAAATATGGACGAGATAATAGCAAGAAAATAGCAGGTGTGAGTAAAGGAGAGATTAGGACAGGGCTATTTGGAGGTGTAGGACCCCAAAAAGTTGGGAGAGTAGGGCGATAAACAAGAAAAAAATTGTTATTTTGTTTCAATCAAATTTAAATTGATTATTATATTATCATATTATATTATAGATACTCCTAATATATACGCTATCTCTTTTTAACATCCTCGCTCGGGCCACACTGCGTGGTGAGTAGGGCTCGGAACTTAATGCACTTAAAAAGTACTAAATATGCATGCACTTATGCGCTTAAAAAAGTACAAATATGCTCTAAAAATATGCACTTATATTTAATTATTTTACACAACATTTTCATTTGTACAAATATTTTTTTTAAATTTGTAAATAAAAAAAAAGCAAAGTAATATAAGTTATTATTATTTATATTTTTTAATCATAATTTAAACAAAAAAATAATAAAAAAATCGCTTTAAAAATTAAAAATGTTCCTTGAATAAAAAAATGCACTTCTGTCGAGTTATATTTATATACTTGAAATACCTAAAATCTATAAATGGCATTAACAATAGTCAATAATCATTGAGTTATTTTCCTATAAAAGTATTTATAGAAAATCGTCGTATTTTGATAGCAGCTGTTTCTATTTTAGATTTGTATAATATTCTATTTTAGATAAAGCTAGCTGTAGTTGTAATTTATATATATTAATATTATATCATATTAACCAATAGAGGAAAAACATAGTTTTTAATGTCAAATGGAAATTTGATTAATACGATTTAAGAATATCTAGTAAGGTCTCTGAATATGAATGTATTTATTTTTTTATTTACAAATTTTCATATTGAATATCCATAAATTATAGAATATGCTTTCAAAAATTGTAAAATTAAGAAATATGCTCTAAAATCTAAAAATCACTAAATATGCAAAAATATGCACTAAAAAATTTTGATATGTTTTTCGTAGTGTCTTGAAATGAATTTCTAGCTTACTTAGCAATAAATCTAATGGTTCAAAAAAATCATGCAAATGCAACAACTTCCGAGCCCTAGTGGTGAGCGTTCCAGTTATTATATAGTTCAATGATCTAAAGGCGCCTTCACAGCTCCCCGTGAAACGTGATATATTCTAGAACTGTGATTGGTTGAACCATGTGGTTATCTAATAGTTAACCATAATTTTTTTTCTTAATACCTTATCTATACCGCTTATACCGTATAGTTGAGTTCAATCCTACTCAGAGCGTGTGTTTACCGTATGGTTGACAGTCGTGGTTAAGAATATTTTTACGGGAACAAATTATATATTATCACGTTTCACGGTGAGCTGTGAAGGCGCCTTAAGACTGTGATTGTAACACAGAACATGGTACCTATGTTAGAAACGGTTACTATTGTAGTTTCAAAACTGGGTACCGTATATTTGGTGGGAACGCATGATAGGCGAGTAAACTCTATTGCCTAGTCAATAGTCATAAATCATAATACGCAATACGCATAATAATGAAATTTGACTTTTAATAATAGCTCAGTGCTAACGTATTTTGCTTAAAAAAAGTCTCGGGGGGGCAAATGCCCCTGTTGCCCCCCCCCCTCAAATACGCCACTGAACGAAATGAAACAATGAAACGTAAAATATTAACATGAAGTAGTAATAATGAAATGCGACGTAGCCATAGATAGTAATAGTGTGAGGCCGTAGTGTGAGACCGGGAGTGGGGGAGCGTGAGTGGGGGCCGGTCGGCACGACAACGCGAGAAGCGGCCGCCGTAATTCCAGATTTCAATATAATTTTTCATTAAAAATGTTTCACGTTTCCTTTAATAACTTAATTTCTAACTGTACGATTTTTATGATTTTTACAAAAGGATCATCTCCTCATGTTTTGCAATTTACTAGGTATAAATTGATTCAGTAGATAATTAATAATCTCATCTGACAAAAAACACCGAAATTTACACGGTTTTAATGGGAAACTCCTGCTTCCAGATAATATACACTGTCGTGCCGCCGCTTTTATTTTTTTCACTTAGCTCGCGCCACGACCGTGGCGCTGGATATTACTTCCGACGGTCATACTTTGCAGTCCGCAGCAACTCTTCAACCCTGTACGTTAGATTGTTACTTGCATGTCTCTGAACGCCCTTACTACCGCGTTTGATGCGTATACAATTCCAACTGGGGGGGGGGCTAAGCCCCCTCAAGCCCCCCCTAACTACGCCTATGTATATAATATAATATAATATATAATCGTGGCTGATGACAACTCCAGATTTGCACCTGGAGGGGACGATGTACACTACAGAAATGATCCTGTATGATCTTAATTTAAACATCGTCGCCGGCCCGTACTTATAACGGACGACGGCTGCTGAACACGAGCAGCCCGCAAATTCCACATCGGATTTTGACACTGTGGAAACTGAATTCGTTGAATGAAATATCGTCCAACTCACTGTTTTAGTTTATTATGTTGTCGGTTTGATGACAGAACACGAGAAAACAGTGTTTAATGTTCTGAAAAAACTTCAACGACACAGTCGACACCGTGTTCTAGTGAGTGGTTGACGGCAGAGCTATCTATCAACGGTTTTCGCCATTACTACGCTAATACTAGGCTAATACCACCGTCACCTGTCCGCTAGGTTATACTAGCACAGTAGCACAATTATTATTATTATATTGGACCAAGTTGCTTTGACTAGCTTTTACTAGCTTTAAATAGCTTTAACTACTATTAACTATAGACACATTTAACTCGTAGTTTATAGCTCTCTCGTCTAGTTAAGCTATTAACCACGGTCTTCTATGTAAGTCACAAGACCCTGCTATTTTAATGTTCTATTAACACGTTGATGGACAGTACAATTTTAAAGTATTACGTCCCGCATGACTGCTATAGCTTTCAAATCCTAATTCCTAATAATTTTATTAATTTAACATTGGAACTTTCTAACTGTCAGAAAAGGGGTTTAATAATCTTTATGATAATATATTTTCTATAATAATTATATCAGACGAAATAAAAATATTTCAGTTTTGTGTAATGGTAAACTATAAACATTTTCCCACCACTAAAATTTGGTACCAAGGGTAGTTGCCTAAGTTGCTCCCTCCTTCTTAAATGTACCACTGGCAAATCAGTGTCATATATATACCTACTCTAATATTAAATAAACGTAAAATAAATAGTTTTGTTAAAATATGATTAAATACACATCAATAATAATAAAAATATAATGATATTATTAGGTATAATGGTAAGTTTAACTGTTAAGGATTAAAAAATTAGTACATTTTGTTATAAAAATACGACAAAAATAAACAGAGTATTCAAAATTCATTATCTGGGGGACAAGTATTTATTTTTTGTTCTTGAAAAACCAAGTGGCTACGAGAAGATGTAAATGTAACCAACAAAATGTTTTTCCAATATGTGTGGGCGTGTGGCTACAAAAAAACATAATGATATCATTAAATTATAATAAATGTGTAAGCACCTCAAAAATATATTTATAATAATAAATTGAGCTAACTTTTATATTCTTAGATAAAAGTAAGTAATTGTTTTTGGTCACAAACTCACAACTAGGTTTGCCGGTCAAACTGTTTTACCTTTCACATCCATCGGCTTGCCTTGAATTATGCATTAATTCTTCTTGCTGGCAGACTAATAATAATTGCCAATAATAATAACCTGCAAGTTTAAGTGATTGCAATTTTTAGTCATTATTAGTAGGTACCTAGGTATACTAAACTTTTTTTCGTCAGTAAATAATACATTGCAGTACAATATTCATAATACATATTATATGTATTTTAAGAGTACCTACCTAATCAGTCAAAAGTCCGATTTGAAAAAAAACACGAATTAATAATTATTTTTTATTATAGAATATTAATATATCATATTTGATTGTTATTCTGTTACCCACTGTAATTTATAAATATTATTATGCCTTATAAAAAAAAAAAAATGATACAAAAGTAGGTATAAGTAAAATTATAAGTCATCGGTAACTATAAATAAATTTACGATGAACCACTGAACCAGATATCCATATCCATTAAAAACATTTTTTTATATTCATTCATTATAATCACCTCCCTTAGTAGCATACTTAATAACAAAATGTCTCACGATACACTGACAAAAGATAAATTCAATTTACACATTTGACATCCAATTAATAAATAATAAAGATACATCCATTAAAGTTACATTTTAAGGCATATTATATGACTTTATAGTCATCCATAATAACTTATTCAAATTGGGCACAGTCATAGTCACTTTTGTATCTTTCAATTCCACAACTGAGGTGGTGTTTCAGGTGACTTTCACTGTCCTGCTCAGTCAGTATTGTATCTAGGATTTTTTCAAAGGGTGATATACAATTTTTAATAGACATTCAGTACACACATGCATATGACATATTATATTCATATTATTATATACATGTTGTATTGCATATACGATTTGTTCTCCAAGAGACCCCCATACACCCCTTCCATGGATACGCCACTGTGCTCAGTCAATTTGACCAAATTTAAAAACCAGTTTTTTTTCTCAGCTCTCAGTTTCATTTATCCCTTACTAATGCTCAAAATATGCTCTTTCCTCTAATGAGTCTTATACTATAACTCTAATTAAAGGCGTCATTCATTTCATCCTTTAAAATATTATAATATAAGATTTAAAATTTAATAATGTATGAGCTATACATATTATTTGTTTTGTTTAATGGTTAAGATAATAAATTATTTGTATCCTGTTGATTACATTGTCATATTAGATTAATGACAAATGCAATGCTTAAATAGGGAAAAAATTAGAAGGGGGATGCAAGTTTTAAAAATATGTGCGTACCTGAATATTAAAATATCTTATTGATTTGGATATAATTAGAAGGGGTCTGCATAAATATTTTCTACAAATAAAAGGGATTCCGACCCCCGCCTCATTTCAAGTACTGGAAGAAAGATTCATTATATATTTGTATAGTTCAACATTAAGTAGTATTATTCCAGTAAATAAGAAGTTTTATAAAATCAATGCTGAGCTATAATGGCATAATGCATAAGAGAATAAAAATAAAAGTTACCAACATGTAGAATTTCACAAAAACGCTTTGAGAAATAAAGGATAAGAATTAAGAACTAATATATTAAACATTCAGATAGTGAAAGTAAAAATATATATTTTAAGATCAATAAAATCATGTCAAAATATGAATATAAAATAAATAAATTTGTTTTGTCATGAAAAAAATATTGTTTTTTTTTTTTTTTTTTGAATAATTAGTAATTACCTTATTAACATATTATTTAAAATATAAAAAAATTTAGAAACTTGTAGTATTTAAAAAAATACAATATTGTACATTAAGAGGATACAACTGCATTCATTGTAAACACCTTACGAAAGTATGATATACCACATTGTATGTTTTGAATACTCAATTTAACTTTATCTATTATCAAGTTTAAAAGTAAGGATATTATCTAGTGAATATTATAGGTTTTTTCATATTTTCATTTTAAAGAGAGTTATGAGTATTTTTAAATGTACTAACAAATTACAATTTTAAAATGATCTTATTGTCTAATAATATTATGATTTTAGATAATATTTCAATTTATTTTAGTAAATAGTTTACAAAAATAAATGTAATGCATCATATAAAAAATATATAATTAAAATAATTTTTATTTTGTTAATTTTATCTCAAGGTTTTTAAACTTTGAAATTAATGGTGGACCACAGTTTTTAATATAATTTGCATAATTTATTATTAAGGTTCATTGTAAAAATTAACATTTAGTTTTTCAATACTTAAAATATATTAAAGTATATGTATAAATATATTTATTGCTTAATGTGCTTAATAATAATATTTAGAAGAGTCAACAATTATTAATTAGTATAGATAATTAATTAAATAAAATTAATACACGATAATTATAAGTACTATTTAATAAATACAATTAAAATACATTGCCTATTGTACAAAAAATAACAATAATACATTTAATGAAGGTTAAATACAAATTTGTTATTACTTAAAATGTATACAAAATAATAGGATAAATATTGATATTCTTGTAAATTTATATTTATTTTAGCTCAAAAATTAACTTTATAAAAATATATATTATGTATTATGTATTGCTGTATCGTAGTTATAAAAATTGTATGACAAAATGCACTAAGTTATGGCATAATATGTTGTTAACACATTCTTTTTATCCGTGGTTGTTAACAACACTTAGGTGATACTATTTCAGCTGTAGGACAAGCAGCGCTACCATTGGTTGGTCTAGATAATTTAACTAAATTGGTATGTGATATTTTTAATTCGGAGGGCCTTTCTGTTGAAGCCCAAACTTCAACAGCTAAAGTAAATGCAGTCTCTATATTCATATCTGTTTTAGAACTAGTTTCAACATAAGGAGCACTCAGATATTCTGAACACCATTTGTTTGCTTCATCTCTAGAAACTACTCGGTCTTGCAGGTCTACCTAAAAAAAATTAGAAGACATTAATTTATTTCAATTGTTAGAAGTTACTTATTTTTTTTTAATTTACCTTTGTAGCAACAACAAGAAATGGAAAATTCACATCAGTTGTCCTAGAATATTGTAAGAATTCTTTTTTCCACGAATCTACAGTTTTAAAGCTTTGGACATCGTCAACAGCAAATGTTAGCAAACAAATATCAGTTCCTCTATAAAAAGGTGTTCGAAGTGTTCGAAATCTTTCTTGGCCTGCAGTATCCCAGATCTGAATGTGTTTATTTAATAGATAAATATATATATAAAACGTTTTAATAACAAATTTGTTTTAACCATACCTGCAAAGTATATACAATTCCATTGACATCGAGTTCCTTTTGAAGAAATTCTACGCCCAATGTATGAAGTGTATGGTCACTAAAACTGTTACTTACAAACCTGTTCATCAGACATGATTTTCCTACATTACTATTTCCCAAAATGACTACTTTCAGTATTGGGTTTTGTTTAACCAAAATCGTTTTATCTTTCATACCGATGTAAAATAAAACTACGATATCATGTGACACTAAATAAATGTATCATGCTTGTATTTCAATTATATTTAATTTAATTAGATAGTTATTAAAAACAAACCAGCAATTTATTTCACAAATCCCAAATACTCTGTGGTTCAGTCTTCAGAGTGCTTTACTGCTTTAGTGCTTTAGTACAATAATTGTACAAGCATATTTAAAAAAAAAATGAAAATAAAAATGAAAATAAAAATGAACTATACCACTACAATTTACTATATAGACATTGGGTAGGTATATTTATTGTATTTTACAAAATATGATAATATAAAATAAGTGATAAGAGGATTATCAATCACCAATGTAAAAATTACACCATGGTTCTGTGATAATATATAATATTAGAGCCGTGATTAGATTTACTACCTATTGTTCTATGCTACTACGGCACCACCCAAGTACCCGCGGAACCATAAATTATGAAATATATGGCCGAACTATAAAATATAAATCAGGATTACTGGAACACCCGAACACGGACGTTATAGGGGGCGGACTGGCCCAGGGTGCTATAAATCAGGTACCACCTCGGGCCCTCATTTGTATTTATAATACAGGCTCCGGCCTCCGATTACCATTTTTGGGCCCTTTCTTAAATAACTCTTATTGTAATATAGAACTGTTTCCTAATTTTGGTAAGTTTAAAAAAAATTTACTGGCCCCTAATGAATTTTGCACCCTGGACCAAAAGTAGCCAGTCCACCCTGCCGACGTATATATATATATATAATATATATATATATTAATATAGTATTTAAATATTTAATAATAAATAATGTGATCACGTTTAAAGGATATAATATAGGATAGGTTCCATGTACCTGTGTATCATGATTATAGATCATGATACACAGATCTGTGATTAAATTAATTTATAATCTATAATTTTAATCTATTCTGTGGTACGATCATCTATGGATAATTTATATAGATATAGACATGTAGTAATTACTATAGTACTATCTACTGCGATGTAGAGAACAGAAGCTAGGTACTCAAAGATAGATCTAATTCTTTACATCGTCGGACATGGGACGTGGGCACATGTAATCCCACACAGCATTTGGGAAATGATAATATTTTGTGAATATTTTCAAGTGCTTCAAAAGTGAATATTTGCATAAAAATATTTTATAAACATTTTCTACTCATTATAAAATAATATTGTACTATAATAATATTATAGTACAATATAATATAATATTATTATGATTACATAAAAATGTTGACTATTTTTATAAAGTTACCGTAAAAATGTTTTGTAAATATTTTTATAAAATATTTTCAAAAAATGAACTGCTTGGCCAAAGAATATAACTAAAATATTTCTTAATTATTTGCTCAACGTTTTAAAATATTTTCACAACTATATTATTTTTTGAAAATATTTTTCCTATAGTTAGGAAATATTATTATGCTGTATGGGATATACCTTTAATCGTGCTATAGCCTATAGGTCTAAATAAAAACTTAAATTGTTTCAATAAATTTGTTTAAATTATTGAGTTATCATTATTATTATGTTAATTTTTTATACAAGCCTACGAGTCAGTGTCGGTGCCAGGATTTTATACCTACCCACCTAGGCAAGCCAACCTAAGGCACGTAATTTTACTGAAGGTCCAATATGTCCAATATATAATACATTAATACGCCTACCCAGTGGCGTGGTGAATGGGGTTTTATGACGTCCAGGCGTCATGGTAGATTTTTTTTTGGGGGTGGGGAGGTTGGGTCCATTATGGTAACAAATAACATACAACAAAAATTAAAATATTTACAGTCACATAATAATTATATGTACTATAAATTATATTATATTAAGGGGGTAAAGAGGGTAAGGTACTGAAATAATATATGCTGGGTATCAAGGTTTATAAATGTTAAAATGTTCACCACGCCACTGTGCCTACCTATAATAAGGTGTGAAATCCTTGCTCCACACCACTTCGTGTCAATTATATTTTTAACTATTTACACCAGTCACCAGCGATTTCGAACCCATGGGCCGATTAGATTAGGCTAACCCAACCCGCTGGCAATGTTATACTGGTGAGACTGACGCTGGTCGAGAGTTTAGCGTAATCGAAGTTTAACCGTAGACGGTACAAATAAATTTTAATTGGCATTATTGCATTAACATCGAGATTTGTACATGATTTTATATACGTCTATATTTCTTCTATTGTCTTATTTAATTATTTGTGTGTGTTCAAGGGCGCCCATTAGATAAATGAGAAATGATAGTAATTTTTTTGTTTATTGTATAGGTAATACCTAGTAAACTATTTTTAATGATGATAATGTTATTCAAACTACACGACATATTATTACATAGGTACATCGTTTATCTATGGTATATTGTTGTTCATCTATTTTCTGTTATTTAATAATTTTTATGATATTGTCACCCCGATTGTTAGTCGCCCTAAGTCATCCTTGTGGGTACTGTGTGTTTATATTTTATACCTGTATATTAAGTATGTGGGCCTCAACATTTTTTTTTTATATAATTGGTAGTCCGCACAACTAAAAAGGTTGGGAACCCACTGATATAACTACACAAATACACAATTAAATAAAATATTAAATAATATTGGAATAATTACGTCATATTCATGATTCAATATAATATTATTATACTTATAAGTTAGGAGGCAATGAGGCATCTTCTAATATATAAAAATCTCATTTCAAGGTGTTAGTGGCCGAACTTCTCCGAAACAGCTTGACCGATTTGAATGACATTTTTTTTGCATATTTGGTAGGTAAATATTTTCCACCCTCCTAGATCCAACCTGAGGAGGCGCTCTCATAGGGAATTTTGAGATTTACGGTGGAAATTTTTGTTTATAAATGGTAGTAATTAGTGGTAATAATTAGTAGAAATTAGTACCTATTTATTATTTGGTTGCCATTGGTTAATCGGGCAGATCAAGTGTAAGCATGCATCAAATTAAATTTTTGCACATAGCCTATTTGATATGGGTATTTGGACGGTTCCTCTGCGGATTTTAGTGGTACTGGACGTTTCATTCCTGGATTCAGGATGGCTGAGACATTTTCTCCGTAGCTGAATCAATATATTTATTTTTCCACATAATAATATTTTGGAAAATAGGTTATTTTGTTTTACCTGAAATGCCATCATCACATCGGCATCTATCGACTATTCAACTATCATCATTAACGTTATGAATTTATTAGTTAATACCAAATTAAATGGGTAGGTAATGAGTAGTAATGACTAATGATTGATAAACCGAAGTTATGTGAAAGTATTTATTGAATTATATTTATATATTATTAATTTAACAATTATTTAATAACTAATAGGTAATAATATAACTTAACATTTTTTGTCCGAGGGAGGGGGGGCGTCCATCGAATCGTGGGGGAAAAGTCCTAGAATAATTGATATGCTGTCAATACCGGGGAGGCTGAGTTGCACCCAAAAGGAGTTGAACAATCACAATTATTTTAAAAGTCGTAATTTTTTATAGGCAACAGAGTGTGTGGGATAAGCAAATAACTTATAATAACATAAATCAATTTTATTAATCATTGAAATTAATTAGTTTGAACATATTGTGAACAATGAACATATAAAAGGACATCATACATTGAAACAATATTTTATTTATTTTAATGCTATCATCCTCTTTTTATGTTCATTCGAAAATTTATCAAGAACTTTATTAATATTCAGTTGTTTTAATTCATCTTTTATTATTGAAATTATACTTTTTTGGATAGCATCTAAAAATAGATTATACTTACCAGTGATATTTCCGCCAGATCCAGACACACTTATAATGTGAATATATTGTGATGACACGATAACACTCATAATTATTAATTTTATATTATGTACTATATATTTTTATCGTATTCGTTTATTACATAAACATAATATTATAGCCTATAGGTATAGTGTATACCTTAATAATCTAAGACCGTGATGTATACTATGATTAGGAAATATAAATTATTAAATGCTTACTCTTTTCTATAGTATTAAACCATTATAAACAATCATACTCTACATAGATCATTGAAGAATTTCAAGAATTAAATTATTACTTATCGTGTTTCCATATTATGCATTTGTATTTTCTCCTCTTACACATACTATTAAAACGTACAAGTTACAAGACAATGAAAAATATTTGATAATAATAAGCAGACTTGAGGTATTTGTTGAGTATGTGACATTGTGATCTACCAGACCAATAATTAATTTAAAAACAGTTATATTAAAAATCTTAAAATTATGTTAATAATTATTTAATTAATTAGTAACACAAATATAAAACAATACAGGATTACATTTAGTAATGTCAAAATTAATCGAATAAAATATCAGTTAAAAAATATATGAATACATAAAATTATTCAAAAAATGTCATAATAAACAAATTTTATTTTTTTTAAAAATAATTTTCAAAAATATACTTTTTAAATATCATTTAAAAAAATTTTAAAAATGTATCTTACCTGTTTATAGATCGGTACCCGTACATAGTATAGATAATCGTCTGGGTAGGTCACATACTAAACGAATACTGACTTTGATGTAAATTTTAATATTTTTAATTTTGACAAAATTTCAGGGTTGGCCAAGGATTTTTCAGGGAGGGCAATGGCCTAACCTTGGTGCCACCATTGCCTATGATTATAGAAAAATAATATAGTACATAGTATTGAATAATATTAATATACCTATTACCTGTTAATAATCTCTAAAAATTGTATGAATCAAAAGTGATCTAATGGTCCCTTCAATATGATATAATAATTATTACGCCATATTTATTAATTTATTGGACTAATAATGCGAAGCTGATTAAAAGTTACTAGTTTTAAAATATGTATAGAAATTAGGTACATTTCAGTAAAAAAATTGAGTAGGATTGACAGTTTTCCTTAGGTAATCACTTCACAAATTGATTTATTTCCTAAACAATTGGTTGTTTAAAGTTATGGTACGGAGTCAGCTATAGGTTTATTAGTGGGATGTAACTTTAAAGTAAAGAAGAGCTAGAAATGAGGTGGAAACAATATAACCAGAAAAAAAATATGGTGGGTAAAATATATGAGTTTCGGCAGCCAGGTAATGAGAACAAATTCATAAATCTGTTCAATTTGTTGACTATCTTACACTATTAAAATATAATATATTTCATTAAATAATTGTTTTAAACAATATTATTTTTTATTTCCAATTCAAAATTGTTCCAATCAATACAAAAGTTAAGTTGCTTTTACTGTCCATAGGCTTTGTTAAAAAAGTCTACTCTTAAAAGATTCATATACATATTATAATATTATAATATTATATAATATATATATTGCAAGAATATTGTAATATATAATTTGAATTGTATGCAATTATTTATTTGACAAAAAAGTTAATGTAACAATTTAAAAAATAAACATTTATAAGAAAATTAGATACTAGTAAAAATGTACAAACTGATCATAACAAATTAAGAAAAAAAAAATTCAATTCATAATGATGATGAATTTGAATTGTCTATAATTCTGTTGAATTATAAATTAGGAGTAATCGTCTTCATCACTGCTTTCTTCAGTCTTAGGTTTAATAGCAGCTCGTTGTGCTGCAGCTTGTAGTTCTTGCCATTGTTGTTGTTCTTGAGCCATTTGCTCTTCTCTGGCCTAATAAAATTTCAAATCTTTTAATTAGTAAATGTATGTCTAATTAAAAGTATAGTACTAAGTCCTACTATTACCTTTGCGAATAGTTCTTGTTGTTGTCGTAACAATTCTTCCTCTGGTATGCCTAAATTTTCAAGTCTTGTACTTTGTCTTCTTCTTTTAGACTGACAGTCTTTACCAACTTCTTCTGCTTGTGCTCGATAGTCACCAAATCCCAAATGGTCTAGAGCTAAAATATTTTTTATTTTTTTAAAAATATATTATGAATAATTATTTTAAACTTACCAGTTAATAAATGTTCAGCGTTTATAGTCTTTTTCTGCTGAGCCATGCATACTTGATTAGCTTCCGATGCTACTAAGTGAATAAATTCTGTGCAACAGTTCATTATCATTTCTCTCACATCATTAGCAACCCGAATATTTGGTAAAGCATCTTTAATCATTTTATTGATTGATGCACGGGGTAGAGCTAGTTCTTCATCTTCATTAGATGGGCCCGGATTACTACAACCCTCGTTTAAACTACTAGTGTTGGAGTTTGAAATTTGAGTTGTTTTACTACAACTTGGAATTGAATCTGTTATGCTAGAGCTAGGTATAGGATTTGAGGTGCTGCAGCAAGGTACTAATCGATCATTATCACTCATGGTGTTTGAAGGTTGTATCATTGACATTTTACTTCCATAACCTGTTGAAAAATTAAGTTTAAAGTTATTCAAAATAATATAATATTATAATATTTTAAAAATCTAGATTTTATTAGGTACATTCTAGTTGGATTACTAAAATAGTTAGGTATGAAAATAGTTAGTATGAAGAAAAAATTAATTAATTTAACAAATGTTTTAAAACAAAAATTGATTAGTTCCATAGGTATCTATCAAATTCCAACAACAATTATTGAAAAAAAAAATACAATTTAAAATTAAAAAACAAATAGTTTGGTTAGTGTTTATTTGTTTTAATTGTCTGAAGTTTATAAATATTTATACACTTTTAAATGTTAGTTTATTTTAAGTACAGATAAAGCTTCCACTTAATATAGAAGTAGTGTAAACTACAAATAAAATATCAAATTAATTTTTAATCTATTTTTTGTAAACAATTTATTTGTAACAATTGTATTAATAATTTATGGTATCATTATCTAATAATAATTTAATTAAGAAAAACTTTTTTTTGTAATAATGTAGTAAATAGTAAACAAATAATAATTATTGTTTAATGTTTATATAGCCATGTGAAAATTGAAAAATATATATTAAATAGGAACCTAACAAAAATGTTTTCATATAATTATTTTACATTAAAGAACCTGGTTGAGAAGATATTTAGATTTTGAATTTGTATCTATGATAATTTACCGACAGCTCAAAACAGAAAACATTAATTCATTATTTCAATCCACCGTAGACCTATTAACATCGGTTTATAGGTCTATGCAATCTACACATCGTCAATAATTATTTTGATAATATTTCTCACCATAAAATTAAGATAACGTGTCTTTACTCTTTCGTCTTTGCGCTTGACGTACCCAGTGAAGTGTGAAAGTGGTAGGACCACAGAAATACAGAATAGGTTAAATTTAATCTACTCTACTGTAGGAGTGTAGGACGGACTCGACGGAGTGACGGACTCGATGGACTACAGACTACAGTACAGACTACAGAGTGTTATACTGTTATCTAATATCTATTCTGTTGTTTTGTCTTCTGTGGACCGTGGACGCTACTTATTGATTTTGATTTTTGAGTTGATAAAACGGGGTTACAGCCGGAATGTTATTGAAAAGTCACGTGACCAATTTAAACGCCTGCAACGCTCTCTACCGGTGCTCTGTGCTGGTGAGAGTACTCGTGTGACCGTGTAATCACAGAATAGATGAAAATGAAACCACCACAGAAAAATAATGGTAATCCTATATGATATAGGCTATATCAGGATCTATATTAAAAATCAAGGATATAATACGGATATAAATTATAATTGTGGTTCTGTATTGGTTAGTAGCACAGTAACACGGACTGGACACGACAAGGTTGGATTACTAGTGGATACTTATGGAACTAGAAATTTTCGTATGATGTGTTCTACTTCCATAAGAATCCACTATCCACTAGGATAGCGCTAGTAATGCTAAAAGGAAAATATCTCCCCGAACTCCGCCTGTTGTACCTACTACATTTCATATTTCGTAACCACAATATTCATCCAGATTCCAGGGTCCAGTCCCATATATCTTAGTCCCTAAGTCCGTGGTTAGTATACTTATCTATGATACTGTTCTATGCTATGATCGTGGTCCAAGAGACGTCCTAGACGAACGTGAGTTTACGATTGGACTCGACATTCCACGCAAGCGACTAGCGACTAGACAGTCGTATCTTGCAGGTTTTTCTGTTTCATGCATAGACATAATATCGATGGCGTAGCGCACAAGTGTGATAAGTGACATTTTCGTAATTGTTCGGGAGAACGATTTTTAAGTTTGAGATGTTATAACAAATTCAAAAATGTAACGAACTGTACGACATCTATCGGAGTAAATAATGAACTATTCACTTACAACGTTTGGGCTTTGGGCATAATGTGCAGAATTGTATGATTAAATTGATTATGCACTTAACTCATTTTTCAAAAAAATGTCACTTATCACACTTGTGCGCTACGCCATCGATATTATAGTTAGGTACATATGGTAGTACTTAAGTATGGTATACTTATTTTTCTATGAGTAGTACATTGTTCTGTGGTAGTCATAATGTCATATACAGTTAATCAATATATTTAAATGCATTTTTTTTACAGTAATAAGTATGAAAATTCTGATTGAATAACATAATATTTGATTTCTTTTTTTACATTTTTTTTAGGCAAATGAGTTTTTTAAATTTTTAGGATATTAATTTTGTTGATCGTATTTTTTAAAACAGGTTAAAGAAAAATATTAAAATCTAATGAAAATCGCCCAAGTTAGAGCTAATTATTAATTTGAATTTCTTAGAATAATAGTATTGTCACCTATGCGGCTATGCATACGGTATTAGCAAAATACGATTAGCATGCTTTAATCAAAAATTGGAAAGCTGATATTTTTTATCTTATTATTAGTGAAAGCTTTCAGTTATAAGATTAAAAACTTAAATTTGTAATAACTGATATTTTCAATTTTGTATGTCAAAATTCTACTTTAGATACAAAATACAAATAGTCACAGATATTTAAAAGTTTAAACCACGGTTATAGATATAGATAATCTTTTATCTATGCAACCGCGCTTAAAACTACACGAATGCGTTGTATACTTGTATACAGGTCGACCAACTGTCGTTTTTTGACTACTAGCATAACGCGGTTACCACGTCGTCGCACTCAAGCAAAACTCATCAGCTGTATCCAAATTTCTAATATTGTATTGTATGCACTCCCTTCTACAATATCCCCTCCTTAATCAATTACACGTCCATAGGGCATAGACTGTACTTCTGTAGTTCTGTACTTTATGGTGCACAGTGCACACTGACACTGTACATACACACACACAAAATCTTTGATGTACAGACTGCTGTCTACTCGGTGTCTCTGTCTCTCTGTCTCTCTGTGTACTTTACCTATTGTAATACATCGTATATTACACTCTGATGCGATTCATAAGTACCGAATACGGGTTTTAGATTTAAGATTTCTTGATCGCTAATAACTTTGGCGATAACATAATGTTAATGTGTGTGTGTATGTAATACGGCATCCCATCGCCGTAAGATTTTTGAGCTTTTTCTGACAAGAAAAAAAAATGACGAATTGGAACTTCACGTTAGAGTAACTACAACAAGACGAGCCAGTGAACAACAAGTAACAACTATAGAATAACTTAAGGAAGAAAACAAATAGAAAGTTTCTTCATCAATCGACGTACGTACAGAGGCACTGTTTTCTGATAAAAAAAGAAAGAAGGTACGTAATCGTTCTCTCAAATGTATTCATAATGATTGTGATCAATTAATTTTATTACGGTCATTGTAAAATAATATATTGCACATTGACTACTTATTGCGGCATGAGCCCCTTATCTCTTGTTTCCATATTTTTCGCCTAATCACGTTTTGTCCAAAAATAAAGTCTTTTATAAATAGACGTCCAGTGTTGAGTTTTTTTGCTCTGCATTTTGCATCCTTCTAAGTCATGGCAAAAGGCAAAAATAAGAAACGTAACCGGCAAAGTTCTAACGCTCCTGTTCCACTTAATGCTGGCGATTCGTCAGATTCGGGAGAATTAAAAAGTCAACCAACAAATAGTGAGTCTACGCCCTGTAACAAACTCCACTGGTCGTCTTCACATTTAACTTACTCAATTTTAAATATTAATACCTATGTTTTTTCCAGTTCTTAAACATCCTTGCACTCATGTCAAAAAAGCAGTCAACGTAAACAATGTAAACAAATGTTTACAAAAGGTTGTTTCACAGTGTTCTGAATGTAAAAACAGTAACTTGGAAGTATGTAAATTGTTTTACAATAATCTATAACATATATAAAGAATATTCTTGTACTTCTTGAACATCTTTCATTAAATTTTTTTTTATTTTTTACAAGTGCCTTATGTAATTATTTGTAAACACCTTAATATTATAAAATGTTTATTGCATTTTAGGAGCTATACATTTGTATACAGTGTGGATCATTTCATTGTTCTAATCTTGAGATCAATCATATCCTTAAACATCAGAACACTCCAAGAAGTGATTCTCATTCCATTGCTGTTAACATTGGAAGTTTAATAGTTTTGTAAGTTGATTATTTTTTTTGCTAAATTTCAGAGTTTATTTTTTATTTAAATATTTTATCCAAACTAACAAAGGAAATTCATACTATTACATATTATTATAATACAACAATTTGTGTGTTAAGAAAATTAGAAAATAGTTGAAATAAATCAAAGTACATAAGTAAGAAATTTAGACAGAGTCGGGCACAAATTTAATTGGCATAACAGAGCATCCTATGTAGTGGATAATTGTAACTGTGTAACCATACCCCGTAGAATGGTGCAGAATAAAACTGGATTAGGTTTCGCATGAGAGTTAAAAACTCTAAGGGCCGTTCTTACGACGTCCGGTTAAAGTTAACCGACACTTAACCGGAAGAATTCTGCCGGTAATAAAATCTGTTATCAGTCGGTTAGCGTTAACCGACACTTTACCGGACATTGTAAGAACGGCCCTAAATTAGACACAAGTAAATAATTCTGGAGTGTCTAAAATACCTGGTCAAAAAGTTATTACCTATTATGTGTTGCAAGTACAGACAATACATATATTACACATCAAATCATAAACATGGTATCCTAACCAATTTTGCACTCATTCTAGTTCAAATTAGAGTCTTGCAAGGTATGGATTCCATACCACTACACTAAACTCAAGAATGTTTAGAACTTTGTGTTACGTTTGAATAAATCCAAGAACTTGAAGCGTGCTACCGTGAAGTCAAGTTGCCTACAAAATGAAAGGGAAGACAAATAAAAAATTCCAAGGTCAGGAATTTGAGTTACTTGAGCATGTAGAGAGCTAATGATAAAATAATGAATACGTTTTATTAGAGAGAATATGAGAATTAGAGAAGGTGATTGAATCACGTTTGTCCAGATTTAAAGTAAGTGTCCAACAATCCAC